TAGTATATTTTGAAGTCAGGGGTTGCAATGTCTCCAGCTTTGTTCTTTTTTCTCAGAATTGCTTTGGCTATCTGGGGTCTTTTGTTGTTCCATATAAATTTTAGGGTTCTTTGTTCTATATCCATGAAGAATGTCATTGGGATCCTGATTGGGATTGCATGGTATCTGTAGATTGCTTTAGGTAATGTGGACATTTTAACTATGTTTATTCTTTTAATCCATGAACATGGAATAGCTTTCCATTTCTTTATGTCTTCTTCAAGTTCTTTCAATAGTGTCTTATAGTTTTCAGTGTATAGGTCTTTCACCTCCTTGGTTAAATTTGTTTCTATATATTTTATACTTTTTGTTGCAATTGTAAATGAGGTTGTATTCTTGACTTCTCTTTCTGCTAGTTTGTTATTAGTGTATAGAAATGCAACTGATTTTTTCAGTTGATTTTTTACCCTGCAACTTTGCTTTAGTTGTTGATTATTTCTAATAGCTTTCTGGTGAATTCTTTAGGTTTTTCTGTGTCTAGAATCATGTCATCTGCAAACAGCAGGAGTTTTACTTCTTCCTTTCCAGTCCGGATACCTTTTATTTTTTTTTCTTGCCTAATTGCTCTGGCAGAAACCTCCAGTACTATGTTGGATAGGAGTGGCGAGAGTGGGCACTTTTGTCTTGTTCCTGTTCTCAGAGGGAAGGCTTTTAGATTTTCGCCATTAAGTATGATGTTGGCTGTGGGTTTGTCATATATGGCCTTTATTATGTTGAGGTACTTTCTTTCTATACCCATTTTATTGAGAATTTTTATCATAAATGGATGTTGGATCTTGTCAAATGCTGTCTCTGCATCTATTGAGATGATCCATGTGATTTTTATTCCTCATTTTGTTAATGTAGTATATCACATTGATTGATTTGCTCATGTTGAACCATCCCTGTGTCCCTGGTATAAATCCTTCTTGATCATGGTGTATGATCCTTTTAATGTATTTCTGTATCCAATTTGCCAATATTTTGTTGAGGATTTTTGCATCTGTGTTCATCAGCAATATTGGCCTGTAATTTTCCTTCTTTGTGTTGTCCTTGTCTGGTTTTGGTATCAGGGTAATGTTGGCCTCATAGAATGAGTTAAGAAGCATTCTGTCTTCTTTAGTTTTTTGGAATAGTTTGAGAAGGGTAGATATTAAATCTTCTTTGAATGTTTGGTAGAGTTCTCCAGAGAAGAGTGTGACTATTAAGTTCTGGTCATGTCCTGGTCCTTTGGTTCCATGGGGAGGAGAATGTTAGGTTCTGTGGTCATTTCAGGTCAAGATTTTTTTTTCTGCACATGCTCTGGCTATGTGACTTTGCAAATTTTCTGAAAGACAAGTCTTAATCACTCTGTTGATAAGGAATGGGTCAGTTGAACTGGTCCTGGAGGGCCCACTGTTATAGGGGTGGTATGGGTGTGGGAATGAGGGAGATGTGAATAGAGTGTGACTTTGTGGCCCCTCTCGCCACTTTTCTCTTTAATAAATTTAGGATTACATGGAAGGTTTTGTATGTCAGAATGGTGCTGCTCTTAAAATTATGTTTGAAAACCATTCCTTTAAACAATGAGATAGGGGCCGGCCCCGTGGCTTAGTGGTTAAGTGCGCGTGCTCTGCTGGCACTGGCAGCCCGGGTTTGGATCCAGGGTGCGCACCAACACACCGCTTCTCCGGCCGTGCTGAGGCGGCGTCCCACATACAGCAACTAGAAGGATGTGCAACTATGACATACAACTATCTACTGGGGCTTTGGGGAGAAAAAGGAGGAGGATTGGCAATAGATGTTAGCTCAGGGCTGATCTTCCTCAGCAAAAAGAGGAGGATTAGCATGGATGTTAGCTCAGGGCTGATCTTCCTCAGCAAAAAGAGGAGGATTAGCATGGATGTTAGCTCAGGGCTGATCTTCCTCACAAAAAATAAAAAAATAAACAATGAGATGAATTTCAAGCAAAATATTGATAAAACCATATTTGGATTTTAGCAAGATCATCCCTGTAGTTGATGGAAGATATTTTAGAGATTGTGGTAGTGGTGAATTTGGGGCAGTGTGGTAGGGGTAAATTTGGGGCAGAGGCAGGGAGACCAAGCCAGAGATAATTAGAGCCCCAGCTGGGGTGGTAGGATGAGGAATGAATGGGAGGAGGGAATGGAATAGAGAGTATTTACTGTGTAAAACTGAGTAGCATTGATGATTGTGTCCAAATTCAAAAACAGAAACCATTGTAAGAGCCAAAGCCTCTATTTGGGATCAAAGAATTAACAATTCGGGGAGCATAGATTCAGGTAGAAACCCAAATGGTGTTCTGCTAGGGAGTCAAAGTCAGGGGCTTTTCAAGGCAAAGAAGGGAGATTGTATTACAAAGAATTTTAGTTGAAGTTGGAGACAAAAAGCTAGTCTTCATTGATTGACTATTGATTTTATCTTCAGAATGTCCACAATATTAATCTTTGTGATCAGGATGTCTGTTCTCCTGCTGATTTCTCAAACAATTGCTTATAAAACAACTCCCGTTTTGTCCCAGTCCAAAGGTTTGGCCCAGTCCAGGGTTCAAGACAGCAAGGCAGTTTCTCCGGAAGGGCAGCTTCGACTCTGTTTTAAAATGGTTCCACTATAGTCAATTTTGACAATTGATTGGCTGAGGACCTGGTAAGGGCTGGGGAATGGGGTTCTTGGATGGAGGGGAAGGATGTTAGTATTACTCTTCAGTTTCTTAGCTGGTTAACTCCAGAAAATTAAAGGAGGGAGTGGAAAAGAGCACTTACCCTGGTTGTGAGATTCTCAAATCCTCCGATACCAATGGGTATCCAACAAGTCAATTCAATTCTGACGCTATATACCTGTTGGTAGAGTCAGATCCCATAAGTTAAAGGGCTCAGTCCCACAAAACTGGCCCCACTTCAGAGGCCAGCTACAAATGGGCTGTCCAGGCTACCCACACTTCTGCATGGAGACGACAAATTCAGGTTTGATAATTTGTTAGAAATGTCTCATAGAACTCACAAAAACACTCTACCTATGTTTACCAGTTTATTATAAAGGATATAACTCAGGAACAGCCAAATGGAAGAGATACACAGGGCAAGGTATGGAGGCAGGGGCATGGAGCTTCCATGCCTTCTCTGGATGTGTCACTTTCCAGCACCTTGATGTGTTCACCATTCTGGAAGCTCTCCAAATCTCATTGTTCAAGATTGTTTATAGAGTCTAATCTCCAGCCTCCCCTCCCCTCCTAGGAAGTTGGTGGATGGGGCTGAAAGTTCCAACCGTCTAAATGCTAAGTCTTTGTGGGGACCAGCCCTGTCCTGAGGCTGTCTTGGGCCCTAGCCTAAGTCACCTCATTAGCGTAAACTCAGGTGTGCTGGAAAGGGGCTCATTATGAATAACAAAAGGCACCCCTATCACTCAGGAAATTCCAGAAGTCTTAGGAGCCCTGTGCCGGGAACTGTGGATAAAGACTAAATATATTTCTTTTTATACTGCGCTAGTAAATATCTCAAATTCCTGGAAACCTTTATGGAACTCTCAACCTACACCTCCAGCTTCAACACTGACCTCAAGCCTCGTCCTTGGTCCTTTGAGGACCAGGGTTCTAGGAGACTTGTGGTCAGATTCTCTTTGGCAGGCTGTAAGCCCCCTGTATTAATTAGAGTGCAACTTAGGCCTCTGTAACAAAGAGACCCCCAAATATGCAGCTCAAAATGCAAGATAGAAGTTTATTATTTTTTTTCGTAAAAATCCAGATAGGTGGTCCAGAGCTGGTTTGGCAGCTCAGCATTGTTGGAGAACTTTGCTCTGCTTTGCTCAGCATTCTGTGTGCCTCTCCTTGCCAGGTTGGCTCTTCGAGCTGCAATCACTGTACTTTCATTCCAGTCAGAGGGAGCGGAGGAAAAGGGAGGGGTGGTTTACCCTTTTCCTTTAAGGGCGAGTACCAGAGCTGCACGCATTTCAGTTCACGTCTCATTGGTTAGAACTGGTCATCTGGCCATCCTGACTGCCAGAGAGGCCCGGAAATGGAATATTTAACTTGGCAGCCTTGTACCCGGCTAAAACTTCTATTTGGAAAGAGAGAATATTCATGCTCTATCCCCAACATTCATGGTATATTTAAGGATTTTTTTTCCTCTCTTGGGAAAAAGATGGAAATAACGTTGACTTAATTTTTTTTCCCCTAAAGTTAAGTAATTTTCGTATTATTGAAACAAAGGAAACATGGTATTCACTGAAACAAGAAAAACTGGCAAAGTTCCTTTGAGAAATCTTTGTGTGAAAAATGTGCCAGTTTGCTCCTGTTTATTGTTGCTTCTAAAAAATAGAGAGGGAGTTACCTGCTCATTGAACCTGATAAGGAATGGGATTATAATTGGACCTTGCCGTGGCTAGTCATTTTTCTCCCAGCAGAGGCTTAAAAAAAGAGTCAGAACACCCTGCTTTGAAGCAGATGATCTGTTGTGTCCCAATTCTCTGTGTTCAACCTAAAGGTTATGGAAAAGGAAAGGAATCTCACAAGCAGAGAGCTGAGATCATCATGATAATATCTGAATGCTGTGTTGTTTTGGATAGAGAATAAAGGGGCAGTAGAAAACCCCTTGTGACTAGTCTCTAAGTCTCTGTTTGGTGCTCAAGAACCAGAAAGGTACTACGCCTGCCGTGGGATGAACCCAGGTGGCTTGTTTGTTGGTGTGGAGGCAAAGCAGAGATGCTATAGCAGGTTAGGCTTTCTAGAAGAGGGGTTACAATGATAGCTTATGGGTGTTGGGGTTTATTCCCTTTTATTAAAAGGAAAGAATTATTAATATATTTACTGTATGGAATATGTTTTATATTGTTATTTTAATCAAAATGATATTTATAATAATTGCCCAAATTTATACACTTGTAATTGGTTAAAGGTTTTAATGTGGCCATTAAGAAACATATGTAGAGCACTATCAACTATCTTCATTTAAGAAAGTCTAAAATTTTATATACATTTTTCTTTATAGCCTACACACTTCAGACACCCGAGAGTATGTCTCCAACTGCGGCTGCAGAGGCTTATTCAAAAGCTTTGACTGTTTGCCATGGACCACTAGACCACTATGACTTTCTGATCAAAGCTCATGAGCTGAGGGATGATGAACATCAAAGAAGAGTCATACAGTGTTTGCAGAAATTACACGAGGACCTTAAAGGATACAGTATAGAGGCAGAAGGCCTTTTTTCAAAGGTGAGTTTTGTGTGATATTAAAGATTGAATAATTAAAAGTGTAAGCACTTTATAAAATGGATTAAATGCAGTTAGGTATAATGATGAAACAGCTTGAAAATTTCCCACCAGTTCCTTTAAACAAGCTCTGTGGAATCCCCCTTCCTGACCTCTTGATGTTCCAAAGTTTTCTTTCACCTTCTAAGGGATTCAGGTAGCTTCATATTTAGGTAATAATTCATGCAGTCCAGTCTAAATGAAAACTTCTGTGCAATTCAATGCGTTCCCCTCCCTCCAGCTCAGGCCTGGCCCAGGTTCAGCTGTAGAGAAGGCTGAATGATTTGTCCTTCCACTTGCTCTGCTTCCCTGGCTTCTCTAGGGTCAGGATGAGAGGGATGAAAGATTAGAAAGAAACAGCAGAGATTTAAGGGACCAGTTAAGGGCCTTTTGTGTGGTAGATGCTGACATGCTAGCTCTCTGTTGAGGGGCACCTTGGTGGGTTCTTCAGGACTCCCGTGGGGTCCTCCCCATTGCTCCACTCTTTGACTGGCCTCTCATGACTCTGGCAGAACACCTCACACCACCGCATTCTGCTGGGACCCCCTTGCCCTTAGCCTTCTTGGGTAGGGTCCTTTCAGGGCAGTCTACCAGGTCACCTTTTATGGTGTCCACTTAAGCCCCAGGAAGCATAACATCTCCTTTCTCCAACCCCTACTGCACAGGCAGCTTCACTCAGCCTCCTGCCCTCAGACTTTGCAGATAAAAAGCAAGTACCAGTCTCTGTCTTTGTCCTGTACACCCCATGTTCCTGGGAACACGTGTCAAGTTCTTCCATGAACTCTTCCACACCCTGCTTTGGTAGCTTCCTGTGGTTTTCCTCACCTAAACAAGCATTCAGCTGCGGAGGGGGATGCCCATCTTGTCTTACACTCAATCCTCATCTCCTTGGATGCTTCTCTTGGGGGACCCACTGCAACTTGTCATGAGTTTTATCTGGGAGAAGTGCCACAGCATTCCTTACCCAGCTAACAACTTTGTACCTTGATCACTTTCTTCAGTTCCCCTTTGGTTTTGGGGCTTTTTTTTCCTTCTTTTTAAGTAATTCCTGCATGGATATGGCTAGTGCCTCTCTTTAGACCATAGGGGAACTTGTTTCCCATTGTCCTCAGCTTTGAGCTTTTGCTGAAATTCTGAGACAACAGGAAAACTCCCATTCCTTATCCCATTATAGAAGCCAGTGTCATCAGCGGTGTCATCTTCAAATTATGAAGGAAATTAATAGTAATAAGAGTTAGAATATGGTTCACTGGACAAACCACCTCCACCCTACTGCCCCCCCCCCAAATATTCTTTTATTATAAGGTCTTTAGAAGGAAGGTACTGGATAACATATGTTAGTAGTACTTTATTTAAAAACTACTGAAAGTAATTTTAGTTTTTAAAAAGCACTGAGAATATAATTAAATAGTTTTATTTTTATATAAAGAAAAAGGCAGTCGTATTAACATCTTTTGGTTAAAAGGAATAGAGATTCATTTAGGTCACAGAAAGAAATCAAGATTTAGAATAAGACTGCATATGCAAATAGCAGTGAAGAGCATCTTCATTTCACAGCCAGGCCTCCCCAAGCCTAGCTTTTGGCTGCATCAGTGGCTCTGAAAACTTTGATGACTTGACAGGCAGTTTATTCTTACTCTAGTGCTCTGCCATTCATGTCATCTGCTTCCTCTGTTGTTCCTTTTCCCCTATACCCACTTCCACTTCTGTTCCTTCTACCAGCTTCTAAATTCTCTCCCTGTGTCTGTGGTTTAAATTCTTGAGTAAGAATCTGATAGGACAACCAACCAATCACTTCATTTGTGTTTGGGCTGAGCTCTCACACCAGGTTTTTCAGAGGCCGCTAGCCAGTGTGAAGATCAGATCTCTGCATAAGGTACCCTCCAGGGCTCCCGTGAGCCTGGCAGTTTCCCTCAGACGTGAGTGTGGTAGCCACTGTGATTGGCTGGTCCAGCACAATGGTTACAGGAAGTAATGATGAATTATCCCTTTTGATGGCCAACTTTCTTCTTTTTCCCATATTTCTAAAAGTTTATAGGTGAGTAAAGAAATAATAAGTTTGGAAAATGTCGACTGCTTATGTACTGCATATCTAATTATAGTTTGCAATACAGGTGGTCTTCCAAATAAAATAGCAACTTGGATATCTGTCATAGCCAGGAAACAAGATGTTTTACTTAACTGGATTTTTTGATTATCTGAGAATTAAATGCTTTCATGAATTTTGTATTTTGTTCCCTTTCTAGTCCTCTCCTTTTGGGAAGTACAGTCCTCTTTTTCCTTCTCTCCACTCTGTATTATCCCTAGGGCTCATCTTACTGTGGTTGGTGAACTTGTATCCAGTCAAAGGTATCCTTTAATCATGAACTTTTCTGGTTGCCAATTCAACAGTGTGGTTTTTTCCTTTAAGTTTATTGTTTGGCTCTTCTTAGGGGTATTCTCCCACACTTCCACATTTGATTTCTGAATTGGCTGTGATGGGTCTGCCTAGTAAACAGACAGCTATTTAGCAGTAAGTCAATCCAATACTTACTATCTAGAAGCCCTAGTTTTATTGTGTAGTTGTAATCTTACGTAAGTAGGAGATTTGCCATGTCAGGTAGTTTCAAGTGTGTCTAATGAAACCTTGTATTTGTTAAATTCTAATGCATATTTGAATAAATGTTTAGTAGATAGATCAACATCTCTTTGTGGTAGTACTTGTCCTGTAGTTTCTTTAGCCGGCCAAATCTTTGACGTTGAAGAAGACCCAAACATCTAACATAATTTGAGTAAAACATATATAAAAGCTTTAGTTTTTGAAGATTGTAAAGATGCCACAGACCTATTTCTCCTAAAAATAAACACAGATATGCTGATTATCAGAGAAGGAAAATTTGGGCTACTAGGTTTTCCAGTGATAGAACTTCATTTGTAGAGTTTTTGATTTTGGTAAATAGGATTTATGATTTTATGGGCATTTGATTTTTCCCTCCAGCTTTATTGAGCTATTATTGACATATAACATATGTAAGTTTAAGGTGTACAATGTGATGATTCGGTACTCATGTATATTGCAAGATGATCACCACAGTAAGGTTAGTTAATACTGCATTGCCTCCCTACATCCCCTCACATAATTATCTTTTTTGTGTGTGTGTGGTGAGAACATTTATCTACTCTCTTAATGGCTTTCAAGCATATAATACAGTATTGTTAATTATACTCACCATGCTATACACTGGATTCCCAGAACTTATAGCTGGAAGTTTGTACCCTTTGACCTCCATCTCCTCATTTCCTTCACCCTCAAGCCCCTGGCAGCCGCCATTCTACTCTCTATTTCTATGAGGTTGGCTTTTTTAGAATTCCGCATATAAGTGAGAACATACAGTATTTGTCTTTCTCTGTCTGACTTATTTCACTTAACATATATGGGCATTTGATTTTGTTTTTAATCCAGATGTTTAAACATTCATTATGGTGGACTTACTTTTTTTTCATTATGCTCCTAAGAAACTTTCTGTAAGGCTAAGCTATAATATTAAAATAAAATTCACCTTCTTCACAAAATGCCAGAATTGTTAATCAATGAGAAAAAAATTGGTGGCAGACTCTTAGGCTGCTTTCACCTGCCTATGTAACAATGTTTTCTCTAATAAAAATTTGAAAAAGTTATGAGCAGATGACCATGCTACATGAGCAACAAACTATGAAGAATGAGCATTTATGAACACTTTACTTTTGTTATCCAATAAAACTTAGAACCAGGTTAATCTGACACATTTAATGTATGCATAATTGTTATTGTGCTGTGAGGTAATTAGGCATAAATGGTAAGAGTTCATGTAAATCACTATAATTAGAATTACTTTTACACAGCCAAATCAAGCATTTCTGGAGTCAGGGAGGGAGAGAATTAAGTAGAGTGTGGAGCTACTCTAAAAATCTCTGTTTCTGTTAATCAGGTGTATACAGGCAGCTAGGTTTTTTCATCTCTTGGGAGGAGACATCATAGCCCAAGAGACCTGGGAATTGGTTTGTGTGTGTGTGTGTGGGGGCACAATTCCTTTGCTTTTTCTCCTGCTTTCCATAAAATAATGTTCAGTTTTTCCCTTATGAGAAATTATTATTTCCAGCTTCCTCCTACATCCTATCTACCATCTTTTATTTGGCTACCTCTCTTCACCCTGCCAAGAACAATGCATATAGCAGGTAGAAAAGACCTGGCCTGCCTTAAACCCAGCTAGTGTAAGGTCTTGATGCTTTCTTTGTTCTGGCTTCTAGCACCTGGAGGCTGGGAGCAGGATACCTGGGATGCTGGGCTGTGGACTTTTCTCTCAGGAGATGCGGGAGGCCTTTTTGTCTGGATCCTGTCAGTTATTTATCCAAGACTAGGCAGTTTGCTGTTTTTTAACTCAGTTCCTCTTTTCTCTCCTCCAGCTGAGGGAGTGAGCACTTATTCTTGCCATTCCTCCTGTTAGAACTGGCATCTCCTATAGGTAGAGTAGATTGAGCAGTGTGATTTTGGTAAAACTTTCCTGATCCCTGGAACTTTATCCTTTAGAAGATCATAAGCAACATTGAGTACAGAATGGACAATACCTATAGCTACAGTTTTATTAAAGACCGGGAATATATATATATATGTTTTGTTTAGGAAGATTCACCCTGAGCTAACATCTGTGTCAGTCTTCCTCTATTTTGTATGTGGGTCGCTGCCACAGCATGGCTGCCAATGAGTGGTATAGGTCCACGCCTGGGAACCGAACCTGGGCTGCTGAAGTGGAGTGCATCAAACTTAAACACTAGGCCATGAGGCTGGCCCCCAGAAATATTTTTAAATGAATGTTTGTTGTATCAAATTTTTATGAAAGCAGAAGCAAAAGCATTACGTTCTAACCCAATGAAGGCATTATCTGTAAGGAAGTGACACTGGGGGTCAAACTGTTGTTTTTTGAGAACTAACATACCAAAGTCTCACT